CAGACCTTCTCAGATCTGGATCCACCGTAGTCACTTCAGATCCGGGCGTACCAGTCACTCCACTTGATCCGATCACTTCTTGTCAACAATTTCTCGGAATCCACTTCACCACAATACCATATAGCAGCGTGCCTTTAGCAACAATGCTACAGCAAGCACGTGCGGTGTAGTATCCAGTAGATAGACTGCGAAGTGTCAATCGCAATAATATTGTGCAGTATCACTCAAAAATTTCTCGTATACGATATGTTTTGTATGAACGCTGACATCTTCGTCAACAGTTTCTGGGTCGATAGCAATCTTGATCACTTTTCTCGATGTCACCCGAAACAATGCCACATACAGTTGGCCGTGAGCAAATACCGGTGATTCTAGGTAAATGCCTACGTGGTGAATCGATTGTCCTTGAGCCTTGTTGATGGTCATTGCGAAAGCTGGTACAACCGGAAATTGCTTACGCCTCATAGTGAACGGAAACTCTTTATCTTTGTCGCCGCTGAAGAACACAATACGTGGTATAAACACGCGTTTACCGCGTCGTGGTCGCGTCGATGCATTTTTCGCGTATAGCTACAACTCGAAGACGTGTTCCGTTGCACAAACCGTTATCGCTGTTTAGATTACGAATCATGGTGACTGATGTTCCCACTTTCAAAATCAATTTGTGAGGAGGCATACCAGAAAAATTGAGTGAGTTCAAGAACTCTGGTTCAAACAGAGATTCATCTCCTGGGCCCTCAAGGCTATCGTTGGATAAATACTCTTTTGTTTCGCCCGAAAGACGTTCAGCTACCATTTCATTTATTCTCATGACGCAGGGATTTGTTGGTGCCATAATTGCACGATCCACCAAATATTGATCTGGTAAATTTTCATCTCCTACCCTGGGGTAGACCGCGTCAATCAAAAACGTCGGTCGTCTTCTGGTTCCGGATCATCGCAGGGGTCGTACCCTGCATTATCCTGCAGTAGGGTAAAATTAGGGAATTCAACCTCCGCCTGGGCAGCACCGTCTCCACCACTAACTTGTGGGTCGGGTATTTCAGGAAATACGCAGATATCCCGAGGGTGACAAATGTCACCTTCATGATTTACTGGAAAGCGACCCTCGCCAAATTGGAGCAAAAACTCAGAAAATTCAGCTAACTCGGCGGCATCATCTGGATCAGGTGCAGTTCGAACACGTATATTTTCAAAGAGCAGGACTTTCTTGAGGTGTCGCCACTGCGGAGACGCTTTAAAACACGCCTTTAATGTTTCTGCGCGAGTAGCATCTTTCAATACAGGGGGAATTTGACGATAGTCTCTGCTGAAAACAATTGCCTTCCCTCCAAATGGTTCACGGTCATTATCCATAATATCTCGAAATGTTCTGTCGCCATAGACCAGTGCATCATTGGCGCCTCATCACAAATAATAATCGGGCTTGTCAAATTAAAATTCCCGTTTGAGTCTGTTTGGATATACCACACGTAGAGTGTTCATTTGGCTGGAGTGGAATCCGAAACATCGAGTGCGCTGTTCGCCCACCAGTCAGTAACGTGGTTGCTATCCCGCTTGAAGCTACTACAATTGCTACTCCACCTTCTAATCGAACCTTAGCAAGCAATTGCACGAGCAAAACCAATTTCCCAGTTCCACCTGGGCCATCATCGAAAAATAACTTTTGACCAACTTCTGGAGACTCCACAGCACTTATGACGTGGTCGAAATTGTCCTGTAGGTTCGGATTCAATCTTATAACCATTGCTGCCGTAGCTCCTACTGTTCCAATGGAGCTTTTGGTTTACTAAGTCTCCTGTGTCCTGTTCAGTTGCATCAGCCTCCTCTCGATAGTCTTCAAGTACTGGCAGACCATAGCTCTCCAACGTTTTGCCGTTAACGCGAAGAATATTGTTCAAGCTTTTCATAGTCTTGAATCCAACTTTCCGAACGTCCGCATCCATTCCCAGCTCTCTCAGGAAATCTTCGCTCAGATCGCTTTTAAAGTGTTCCCATAATCCCAGTGGAATACCCGGTAATGAGTATACCAAAATGGTACCAAAGAGCTGACGTAGCTGATAGGGCATACGTTCATATGATGCCTCAAGCAAACACTCTTCCTACTCGCAATCATTCTCTAAATAACCAGCTGCCATCGCAGCTTCATGGAATGCAGGGTACATCACATTATCTATTGTCCTGAGATCTTCGAAAGACGCTGGTCCACGCCGATAGCGCAGCAAAAGTCGCAGGTAAAACCGTTCAGGATCTTGGGGAGATACATGTACAA